GAATACATGATGTAGTTGAAATGATCTGCAAGTTTAGAGGAAAAAAACACTTGAACAAAATTATGCATTAAATGCACCATTTTGGGCAACTAATGAAGCACTAGGCAACACGTAAAATAAGTACTTTTCATCTTTCGTGTCATTCTTGTTTGGTGTGACTCTGGCCACAGTTTCCAGAACAGCCTGGTCCACGAACAAGGCAAGAAGAGTAACTCAGCATATCATGAGTTATACTGGTACCACGGATGCATATTAATAGAAGAACAAAGCCAGATTCACCACTAACTAAAAGGTAAAAGTCAATAACCTCAAAACACGTTTAGAAAAAAAACGTACCTTAATAGTGCCATTAAAGTTTAAGACCTCTAATATATGTATTTACTATACATTAAAGCAATGATCTACCTAGACACATCAACTATTCTTCATTTCTATTTTTTGCTCATTTCCCTCACTTATTTGTTGAATTGAATTCCCTCACTTTTTTGTTGTTGTTGTTATTATTATTATATATAACATTATTATAATTATTATACTTTGGAGACAGAATTTAGAAACAAAAGGTTTTTACTTAAGCAGGAGCATGACAAAATAAGTGCATGACAACTTTAGCCGAAGACATGTGGAATATGACTTGAAAATAAAAATAGGAGAAGATGTCATTTCACATGTTTCTTAAGTTTAAATAGTAAATACCTAAGATTAATACTACAAAATGATGGAAAAATTAATGAGAATGTCACACATTAGATACAAGAGGGATAGTTAAAATGGAGAAAAGCACCGGTTATTTGTGATCGCAAAGTACCAACCAAACTGAAGCAAATTTTAAAAGGTAGTGAATGCTAGGCTTTAAATGGATAACAAGCCAAAAAGGTGGGAAGGACAGAAATGAGAATGTTAAGATGGATGTCATGATAGATTACATCTCCGAAATATGGTTTTCAACCGAGCCAAACAGCGTCATGTGATCCATGTGGCGCACCTCCCCCAGTGGGATAAGGCTTCGTTCTTATCTGTATTATTATTATTTTTTTTTTATTAGTTATTAATTATTAATTATTATTATTAATTGTTGTTATTACTAATGTTGCTACATGCATAAAGACGAACTACGACTAGTTCTAAATCAAACTAGAATATCACTATTTTAAATCAACGCTCAAGGTAAAATGCCAACCTGTTGTTCTGCTACACTGTTGTTGAAGCTTCCCGGATCAGTTGCTACTAGCACGAAGAGCCAAACAAAGAACAAGCAAACCGTTAAAACAGTTTCCGAAATTCTTCATTTCTAAATCCTATTTGCGAAAGCCGAAATTTAAGAACAGATAAAAGCAGAAACTAATCTCCAAAATAAAAGGAAATAAAATCACAAGATGCGGTCCAAGTGACACGAATTCGAATGAATCCGCATTTAGCAAGGGTTCATGTCCACAGATCAGGAACCAAAACCCTACGAGTGCGACAAACAGAAAGCGCAATTCAAGTTTCGCAGTTGCCGAAGCAAAAGAAGGAAGCGAGAATCTGGAAATTGAACGGCGAGAGCAGAGGAATCTAGAATCTAGAATTCGGAACCTTCGTTCTGGTCGTTCTCGGTGAACTCGTGCTCGAGCGCGCGGTCAATCATGTCGGCGAAGCTCCCTTCCCGCGGCCGCGAGAGAGAGACGTTGGACTCGGTGGCGTTGGCGAGTTCGATCCGATCCGACTCGGTAGGTCGAATAGCGAGCGAGGAATGAGGCAGCAGAAGAAGAGAGTGGAGGAAGAGAACGAGCAGCGCTGGCGCCAGCAGCAGCAAGTGACCGTCACCGCGTGATCTCAGTCGCGACATTGCTGCGCCGGCGCACGTTAGCAGGTGGCGGTGCGTGTTCGACGGCGGTGAGCGTTCGCCGGCGGAGGTGTTTGTTCTCCGAAGAGAAGAGAGAGAAGCGAGAAAAACGAGGTCCACAGAAGAAGAAGAATAAGAAGAAGAAAAGAAGACAGAGTGAGCGAGTTGAATTGAAGTGGTGATTGGTGAAGGGTCAAGTTGCGGTCGTTCATTAATTATTTTTCTCATTATTTAATTACTACGAGAGTTCTTGTCGTTTTGACGATAGTAGCCTTCTCCCTCTTACAGTCTTACCTTTCTTGCGTCGTTTTTATGGTAACCCTTCTTCCATCATCTATATTTACACTAATTCTTTTCCTTCTCTTCCAATTTCTTCTACTCACTTTCTTTTATCTTCCTTATTATTGTTACTATAATAATTTCTAATACTAAAGAAAATAACTTATGTGTAGGCCTTTAAAATGAAAATTGATTTATTTATTTTTAATCGATCCAACATATAAAATTGCTTTATATTCGACTCACTTATTATATAATTATTTTTTGACAACTACTACATAATTATTTAAAATGATTATTATCAAACATTTAAAATTTCACAAGAAAAATGGAAGATTTATCTTAATAATATTCCATGTATTTAGCCACCCAATTAAAACATTATAGCTTCATCAATGTCCATTAATAGTTAGAATTAAAAGCTATGAATGTAAATAAAAGCATATAAAACAACAAAAAAAAGAGTAAAAATGACATTTAACATGTTAATATACCATGTTACCATAGTAAAAAATTATTATTATTTCAGAATATTTGGTCAAAACGGAAACAATAATTTTATGGTAAGTTTGTTTAATAAATAAAATGTTTATTATTTTATAGAAAGAGTATAATAGTAGAAAGCAGAAATATCTCTTAATGGAGTAGTTAACAATAACAGCTAGCTGATGGCAGTGTACTTTTGTCGCCACCTGGCAGTACGTGCACGAACAATATGCACACGTGACACCCTTTCAACTTGCTAACTTTTCATGATGCACTGATTCATTATTCATAAAATGTAAAGAAAGTTGGATTTGTTGACGGAAAATATTAAATGATTTAATTTATTGTAGTTTTGGATGATATTCGATTTACGATTTTCGTCCCTGTAATTCTAAATATATTGGTTTTTTAATTTATAAAATCTAATTTTAGTTTAATACTAGTTAAATGCACATTTATGTGACCATTAGGATTAGTTAATAATTAGGTGAGGAGGAGTTTAGGTAATTAGAAACATAAGGATTTAGGTTCAATTCTTATTACGATTATTTTTGTAATATTTCTTATCTAAAAAAAATGCACATCTATGCTGAAATTATAACAAGTTATTATCTTATGTTATGTTAAGTAGGTAAGATGATGGTTAGAATACAATGATATTTAAGTTATACTGAAACTTCAATTTTTTACCACAACCTCCTGAGAGTCGTACAAGAAAATCAAAATATGATAAAAATAAGAATTAAAAGTATAATTTAATTTAAAAAAATATTAAATATTAACTAATATTTATTATATATAACTAAAATTTATAATATATATATATATATAGATAATTTATGATAAAACTACTAAAATAATGCTAAATGATATTCTAAATAGTTTGCTCAATTGTATCTAAATTTCAGCAACCTTTTTTATTTTTGAAAAAACAATGTTAACGACTTTATATAATAAAATAAATATATAATTGTTAAAAAATACTTAACTTATTTTTAATTGACCTTTATTTGAAATTGACTCTTTCTGTTTCGATTATTATAACTTTCAAATATATGAATAGAGCTATCAAAATTGATCCAAACTATTGAACTAACTCATTGGCCTACCAAATCAAATGTCGAGCTCGTTGAATTTTAAATCCGAAAATAGATGAGACGAAATTGACAAAATTCAAAGGAGCATCTGTATAACATTTAAAATAAAAAATAAAAAGTCATGTTTGCAACTTATTGATAGAGGTAATGCAACCTCATTACATTGATAGATTTTCTTCTTCTTATTATTATTATTAATAATTCATTCCTCCAAATGAATGTCGACTTATGATAACTAGTCTCTGTTGCTTCTTCTTAATTACATCATGATGATATAAATATGAATTTATAATGTAATGAATACTATTTATAATGAAAAGAAGAAAAATCTTCTTTCCATCACAACACGATAAATCCGTGAATAAAATGCGTATTATTAAGTTATACCCACTTTTCGTATGGTGTTCAAACGTATGAATATGAATAATGTATGGTGTTTAAACTTTAAATATACACTTGGACGATCATCCGTCATGTTTCATCAATAAAAATAAAATTACATTTTATAAAAACTTTAGTCAACACGCACCGTCAATATAAATTAATTTTATATCAACAATCAATCAAAATTATCGCTAGCATAATTCTTAAAATAGTTATTATAAAAATTAACCAACAATCTTAGTTGTTACGGGATTAAATGATAGCGTAAAATAATACATAACTTTATATATATATAAAATTCATCTTGTTTCAACAAATTAAGAATATATAAGGTGCTGCGTCACATCTAAATAAAAATTTAGTGCTTGGATTGCTTAATAAAAAGTGTAATCTGGCTTAAAATTCAAGATTGCCATGCACCCCTTTGAAATAGCTCACTCAATAACATGAAGACTTCATGGAAAGCCACCTATTAAACATTCGAAGTTCAAACCCATTGAAATTTTACATCGTGATCCATCTTATTACTTTCAACCCAAGGTATTCCCCAATTGATAACCTTGCCTGAGAATATAACCATTCCAGTGTTACACTGTCAATATATCTGGGTTAATTTAAAAATAAAATAAAATAAAACACAATTATAATTTTTTATTCAAATATTTAAGATACTACAAAATATATTTTTTAAAAATGATAAATATTTTAAAACAAACTAGAATACCTAAAGAAACATGGAAATATCAATGATTATGAATAAGCCGATTATGTTAGAAATGAATTTTCACTTGAATGAGGTAGAAAACACAGTTCTGATTTTAAAAAGCACTGTCATTTGCCACCTACCGTATTAAACTGCCAAATATATTTTGTCCACGTGGTCACCCCACCTCTGTTCAAGTTTCACAAACAAATACATAATATACAACTAATCATAATAATACACAAGCATTTACATACAAGTTACAACTCATACATGTAGAAGTATTATGTATAGTAGTAATACACAAACATTTATATACATGTTACAACCCATGCATGTAGAATCTAAACTAAGTTTTTTTTTTTTTTTTAATAATATTATTAACAAATACTATACATAAAAGTTTCCACTACTATTATACCCGAATACTCAAAGGGTCTGGGGATAATCTCATAACGTAGAAGTGCAGGAGCACTTTTTGACTTTACGTAGACTTCGGAGCTCCACTCGTTTCTATCAAACATTTCTTCGAAAGATTGACTATTGAATCTGCGATGACTCTTGCACTGGACTTCATGTAACCACCTAAAATATGGAATAACAAATATAGACAACCTGATAAACAACATTAACAATAGGTAGAGAAAATAGTTGAAGAAGGTTTCCAAAAATCATTTGGGAGATGGATCAGTTGAGTACTAGAATGTCGCCACTTTCTACTATCAGTTGTCTAGAACTAGAACCCATCTCCATTAAGCATAATTATATCAGCTCAAAACAGGGAAAAATATTAGTGGGTTTGTTTCACATTTCATCTCAACGAAAATCCACATGCCTTTAAATCCCAATTCCCAACGGAATTCAAAAAGAGTAACACCAGATGTACATCAGTAATTGTACAAGTACAATATCACTTGTGTATCTATTCTCTATCATTAATAAATGAAACGATAGAGAAAGATAAACATAAAAGTGATATAATATTAGTTGCCGATGAGGATAACATTACTCTTTCCAAAAACACGACACAAGGTTAGATAAAATAAAACAATCTAGAAGAATTCATTTAACAGGAATATTAAGTGTATGTTTAGATACCAGTTTAAAATCACGTTTAATAAAAAAAAGACGTGTTCCAATAAAAGAAAAGGAAAAACTCTGTCAATGTAGCTTTCTTCAACCCTAATTGAAACTTATCTGATTTCCAAACACACCCTAAACCAAAAATATCCAATAGATGATTGAGTTTGTTTTATAATTTATTAATTATAACTGATTAATATATTTTCAAGTCATTAACTATATCACATTTAAGTATCAAAATTCTAAAGAATCTTTAATATAACATATGGCTGTCAGGATGATGATAACATGGCTTTTCAATACTGTTATCTTCCTACATGAAAGTTGTGACATAGGATCTCAATCTCAAATAAAAAAATTGTAGTATTTTAAGTTTTTTGTACAGATGGGCACATGGTCATACATAACGAGATAACCTCTAAGAAGTCGGACAAAAGTTAGGGTAATTTCAGGTTGCCTTGAAATTAATTTTTTTTTTTCTAATATAAGGTGTTTGCAACTGTAAAATAATCAGGCGTGAAATGCACAAACTACTACAAACAAAAAAAGAATCAATATATGACTAAAGACTAATATAACACCGAGGCCATTGTTAAAAAAGGCCATAGTAGCCACCATATGACAGGGCGGAACACAATAGCAAACCTGAAGTTAGCATGACGATAGGAATGTTCTTCTCACGAGCAAACCGGAAAACTTTCTCATCTCTAAGGGCAATTCCATCAGGACTGATCTGTGTGTAAAAAAATAACACAAGCACGGCCTATGGTGAATTGTAAAGGAAATAACTAAAACACTAACTCATAACAATGAAATATTATTTTCATGTAGAAACTACATATAAGAGCAAATGACCGACCACACAACCGAAGTTAATAAAATTTATATTTTACTGCAATAAAGTGAATCCAAGAATGACGTTACCTCCAACCTTCCTAATGGATCACCTTCTAGGATGTCAGTTCCAGCATTATAAATTACCAACTCAGGGTTAAATCTTTGCCCAGCAACCTTGAGTCACATTGACGTGAAAAATAAAAATTAGCAAAAGAACTTGAATGGTACTTTTAGTATACCGTCAACTGATAAACGATTCTAATCTTATTAATTGGGAGTTAAGACTTAAGAGTAGAAAGGAACAGGCAAAGGAAAATCAATGGGAAGAGAAGGCTAGATATTAGGAGGTAAATATATGGTTTTCCATTCCATTGTTTTTGTTTGGAAATAAATAAGGCAGAGGTAAGTCAAAGTGCATCATGAATCAAAATAACAATTAATATGATTGGACATGGATAGGATATATAAATGCAAAAATGTATATATATTATAGCCACATGGTTATACCTAATCCTAGTCGTGCAGTGGGTACTTGATCCAAAAATATTAGAGAATAACAAAGTTTACGATAATAATGTAACATACCACAAGTGCTTCATCTAATTTTTGCAGGTACTCTTCTGTAAGTGTCCCACTCTGAAATTTCACGTGAAAACGTATGACAGAGAATCTTAAAGAGGCAAATCAGAAAACAAATATGATTTGGGTTTAACTGATATATTGAATATACCTTTACTTCAACTTTCTGATTTATGTAGTTTCTCGCCTCATAATCCTAACAAAGAAGACAAAAAGGAAAGAAATGTTACTAGAACACATGACCAGTAAGTCGCAAGGCAGCAATCTTCCTGATGTACCCAAGCTCACATTCTTTTTCACCAATTGAATGTAGAAAAGAAATCGAAATGTATGCTTTCATGCCATGCCACAATGATATGCACAGAAAAATTCATCATTCCCAGACAAAGAACAAGACAATTCAAATGTATAATATTACAAACGGACTTCAACACATCAGATGTCAGCCAGAAATGTTGAATAGATGAGACAAATGTGTATAAAAAGAAACAAAGAAAAATCACTTCAAAATACAATATAGGAAGAAAAATAATGTAAAACAAAGAGCAGATTACCAAAGGATATATTCCAGGATTGTACATATCCAAGATATAGACTCGATCTGCCATTATAAACTCCCCATCAGTAAAAACCCTAAAAGATATGAAACCCAAACACTAAAAATATTTTTGGACATACTGTCATAGGAAAAGTCCATTTCATGACCATTTCCTTGATGTGCATCAAGATCAATGATCATCACCCTGAAAATTTGCAATAAAATTTTGCACAAGTATTAATAGAATACACTAACTTGCAATTGTAAGCACTAAATAAGATAGTACCTTGATATATTCAACCGAACAAAAGCAAAGTGGATGCACAGAGAAATATCTGCATAAGCACAGAATCCACCTCCTTTTTCTGCAGAGCAGTGATGAAATCCTCCTCCCACATTAATGGCCCATCCTCTCTCCTTTGCAAGTTTTGCAGCTAATATAGTTCCTCCAACCTACCATTAGACTAGGAGCAAGATCAGATTTTTGGAGATGCAAAACAGACTTCAATAAAACAGTTAAATTACCTGCTTCCTGAATGGGAAAAGAACTTTTTGTTGCACAAGACAATTGGGAATTAATGCCACGGGAGGGACCTATATTTTAGTAATTTATATCAGTAAATAATCCACAATACATCAACTATATAAAGCCTCAGCAAAGCCAAATACATATCTATTGTCATACAGTAGAGTAACCAAAACAGATACACTAACGAACTCCAGTACAACCATATCTGCTTCTTCCTATTCTACAAAGTCAAGATGATAACAATTTACACACACCCTTCCATATAAAAGTTCCAAAATTAAAGAAAAAGAAGGAATAATAAGTACCAACAACAAAACTGTAAAAGGCTGCCTTGTGCCTAAAATGAGTAGAGAGTACCTCAACTATCATAGCAACTTTCGAACTCTCCTTCAAGCTATTCAAATATGATTCGGAGTGTACCTTTGGGGAAAAAGGAATGAAAGAAAACAGATTTAGCACTAGACATTCTGCTTAATTCACATCAATGTCAATCATATGTTTTTTGGCTACTATACATGTGATTTTAACACACACAACTTAAGTACTTATTTTAAAAAATGAATAAACTTCACCCATTAATTAAAATCAACTTATGCACTTCATTAGTATGGTTATGTTTAGTTACTCCTTCGTAACTAGTAACGTCAGTTAGCTGATCTTGAACATGACAACTTTTTTATTGTTAAGTGTGAATTACAAGGAAACCTCAATTCAATCACAAGCAAGAAGGTTGTTGCTTTTCTATGGAAGTTGATTCGGAAAATTTAAGTTCAACTCAAATTAACTTTCTAACCAGAATCCAAACACATGACACCATATCATCTAAATTTACAAGAAATTAAGGTATACAAGTTAATTTTAAGTTATTTGAATCATTTTGGTTTTCATTTTCTTAGTCTATAAGCCAAACAATGTCTTACCGATTGAGCATTACACAGCGCTTACCACTAGAAGATCATCCTTGGAAGCTTCGAGAGGCTCAACGATGCATTTTTTGTCTAAAATGCCAAACGAAACGAGGAATCGACAAATGCGTCCCCACTTAGACGAATCAAACGGATGCCTGCAACAATCAGCAAACAGTTAAACGACTACGAGTGCTATTCGCAACTTCGAAAAACGACGTTAGTGCGAAGAAAGTGCTTACAGTTTCTCTATGCCGAGAAACGCTATGTCGTAAGACTCGGAGTAGATAAGCGGAACCTGAACGGCCAAAAACCTAAGGCGTAAGCACTCGACGCGCGAAGAGTGCGAGTGTGTGCGCGGAACTCGCTTACCTTGGACGGAGACACGTCGAAGTAGAGCTTGCTGGAGAGGATGCGGTTGCGCATGAGAGCCTCGGCGTCGTTCGCGGAAGAAGACGACATCGGTGACGACGGTTGACGGAGACAGATACGGTGGTGGCGAATCGGAGATGTTCCGACGGCGGCGAACCTGATGCAAAATTGCGGAGCCACCGAAACACCGACTTGACTCAGTAACGGTTTCGGGAACAAAATTCGTGAATCGGTGAAACTTAACTCACGAGGCCAGAAATGCAGCCGTTGATAAAATTCATGAATGGCATCGAAATGGAATGTTCCACATTTCAGGCAACGGTGCACTATATTTTTTAGATTACAAATAATGTCGGAGGATTTAAGGTTTTATCTATATAACTCTTTTTTTTTTTAAATATTAAAAAAAATTATCTTCTTTAAATAATTACATGTTATTTGTGTATAATTATTAGAAACATTTTAATCTCTTTATTATTTCTAATTAGATTTTATATTTTTAACTACATTTCTATGTTAAATACACAATTTTATTTATTCATGAATAAATTATAGTTTAATATAAATATAAATTATGGAAAACACTTCTTTCTGACACATATTGGGTACTAGCTCCAAATGTGAAGCCAAGTTTCTAACACTAAAAATGTATTCAATGCATGATGATTATTTTTATACCAAATGTACTTATTACCAACTGAAAGAATATCATGTAGTTCTATTGTTTCTGTATTAGGATACACATTTTACTTGTCCTTGTTGTTGCAAGTCTGGTCTTGGGTCTAGGTCTTCTTGTTCCTTTTCGATCAGTCCGAAGTGAGGGGGGTGCCTGCAAAGACACTTCAACGCTCAAGTAAGTGTTCGGCGTATTAAATGCGGTAGTTGAAAGTTAGTTACGTACCTCTTGGAGGTCTATTTATAGTGGTTGTTATTGGGCCGCGATTAAGGAATGAGCCCCGGAAAATTAGGGGTTAAACTAGTGTATTAGGTAAATTAACCTCTCCTTAACCGTCCTGGCATAACTTCATAACTTGGCCGAGCACACCGACCTGTTCAGCTTGGGTAGGAGGTGGTCGGTATTCTCGGCTAGGTTGATTAATTCGGTCGGGTCAGGTATTCGGCCTAGTTGGGTACCATCTAGTATACAACCCCCGCAGCGTCAAGGACTGGAAGGATGAAGACGGTGAGAAGTAACTACGGCATGAAACTCTGAGATTGGACCTTACACGTGCTAACTATAGGGTTTCGGTTCCCAACGTAAGATAGACAAGCCAACATGGTGTTAATGTGTTAGACATTGGATGTGCGTCCGACCACTAGGAGTCGAGCGTGCATGGCGATCCCGTGGTATGGTAGATTTTATCGACCTCGGTAGTCGGGCCTGGATGTGTTACGTTGGGTGTGGGGGTGTCGTCGACCTCTCGAGATGTGATCGGGGTTGGCGTTATGCAAGGCGTGGTTAGCTTTGCCGACCCCTCGAGATGATAACGGGGTCGGTGTTACACAAGGCATGTTTAGCCTAGTCGACCCCTCGGACTAGATTGGGGTTGGTGTCACGCAAGGCTTGGTTAGTGTGGCCGACCCCTCGAGACGAGACCGGGGTCGGCGTTTCGTAAGGCATGGTTGGCCTAACCGACCCCTCGAACTAGATTGGGGTTGGAGTTACGCAAAGCTTGGTTAGCCTGGCCGACCCCTAGAGATGAGACTGGGGTCGGTGCCGCCACGTGGATCATGGACCGTCTCGGCGAACCGGATGGCGGTTGAGGGTCCAACGGTCGTGTAATCTAGGCCGTCCAAGCATTTAGATCTAACGGTTGGGGATGCGAGACATCTTTTCACCTCCCCCCATTTACCTTACCTATAAATAGGAGGGGGTGCGTAGGGATTTTACTCGCTGTAAAATTTCTGAGAACCCACAACCTTCGAGATTTCTCCGAGACAACTGAGTAAGGTAAGAGTTTTGTGTTATTTAGTTCCTTGTGCTAAATGGAGAGCGGTTACTCCTCAGCTAGGAGCTGATATCGTCGGAGGCGTCGGGTGCTTCGGCAGGGAAAAAGGGGTCAGACTCGAGTGAAGTTTCATGGTTGCCCTCCTTGCAATGTGAGGTGGTGTTCCCCTCCGACTTTGCCAACCAAGAGGATAGTGGGGACGAGGTGGTAGAGGTGTTGTCGCCCGTTACTTTAGTCGTGACCTCGGCACGTGTAGATGAAATGATCCCCCAAGCCGAAGTGAGTGGTGATGGTGTGGATCGGATCGATGATGTTCAGGATGAGGTCACGGGTCGCGTGAGTACCCGTGTGAAGATTGACTATGGGACGGTTGAGATGCCCGGGTACGAGTGGGTAGACGGGGAGGTCGGTATCTATTTCTCGTCTTTCTCCGACCAAGGTCTGTTGGATAAATTTGTGGGGCTGGAAAAATGCTTCGGGAGTGGGGAAAAAGAGCTGCCCTTGATCGCTGAGTCATGTCAGGATGAGGGGCCGAACACTGATTTCATTTTCTTGGAGTCGGGGTCGGAGGAAGAAGATTATTTCTACGGCCACATGTGTTGGTTTCAAGACCTCGGCATAAAACTGCCTTTTGATGATTTTCAGATGGGGGTGCTCCGAGTCCTGAATGTGGCGCCGACCTAACTACACCCGAACGCTTGGGCCACCATGTAAGCCTTCCGGAATTTATGCCTCTGCCTAGGCCTTACTCCCCGACCGCTCTCCTTTCTTTATTATTACATCTATCGTCTGAGCAAGCCGGTGAAATGGGTCTCCTTGGCTCGCGTGCCGAAACGTGGATTCCTAAGGGCATTCACGTCCTCGTATAAGGGTTTTAAGAGTGGCTTCTTTAAGATCCGTTGGGGGTTGGACATGGAAAACTGCTTCTATGACCGGGAGGGGTCTAAATTATTCCCCTTCTATTGGACGAAGCATCCGACGCGTTTCGAGGCGATTGCCGAGTCTAAGCTCCCTGTCGAGGACCGAGAAATTGTGGACCTTCTTGACAAATTACCGAAGGGGTTGACTGTCTGAGGCCTCCTTGATATATTCAAAACTCCAAATTTTGAGTTAACTCTATTAGGTATGTTTTTTAGCTTCGGTATTGTAGCAGCGTTTTAAATTGATGTTAAGATTCGTTTTGTTGCAGGATTAATGGCCGGGGATGATTTGGACGTGACCGCCATGCTCGCCAACCGAGCAAAGGCTGCAAAGGCGAGTGGAAAGGTGTTGCTGGCTCGGTCGGCCTTAAAGATCCAACGCGAGAAGCCACCGAGTGTTTTGATTCCAATGGGGGATCCCAAGAAGAAAGCCAACTCGGCTCGAGTGCGATCGACTGAGCAGAACATAGAATCAGATCGCCCCAGCTCATCAACGAAGCCCCAGAAGCAACCGACCTTGGAGCAGTCAGGTTGCGGTGTGTTCGTCGTGCCGGTAGTTGTGGCCGGGTCCAATTTCCTCGTGCCGAATACCTAGACCGAGAACCTGGTCGGCCTAGACCTAACCTCCAGCGGCAGGCTTCAGTATTTGGAGGGGATGTCTTCAGAGGTCGAGTATAAGCTCTTATGTGAGCTAGATGCTCGGACTTCCTTGGTTTCCAAGCATATTATGATGAGGTCGACAATAGGGGAGGGTCGGCTTTAAGGGCGGCTGAGGGAGGCCGAGAACAACCTGCAAGAGGCGTTGAATGCCAACACTAAGGTCACCGAGTCGACCGAGGAGCTGAAGAAGGCCACCGATGCCCATAGGAGGGAGGCCGACGACTTGAAGTTGACTGTCCAGAGACTTCAAGCTGAGGTCGCCGTCGCGGCTGGGGAGATTGCTCGGCTGAACGAGGCCACCGCCAAGTTCAAGGTCGATGCTACCTAGAAGATACTTGCCTAACATGATGTCAGCTTCCAACACGCCATCCAACAGGCCTTTTATTTTTGCGAGGTTCCCTCTGACTTCGCGTTCAACGTCAGTCGGGACTTCTACGGGGGAAATTTATAAGTTACGCCGAGTTCCCCCGTGGAGCCCAGCTTGACGAAGAGGCTCCCCCTCGAGGAATCTCGACCAATGCTGAAGTGCCTGTTACCAGGGAGGAAGAGCCCGAGATTGATGTAGTCGGCGACGGGGACGCGAGTGGCTCGGCTGCTGCGTAAATTCGACATGGAATAGGGGTAGGTTAGGGCTTAGGGTTTGTAACCGGGCTATTAATGCCTTTTGTAATTTGGCCATTGGCGTCGGTAAAACCTGATTAATTTTTTGTGTAAGTAACCGTGCATGATCGACCAAACTTTAATGACATTTGGTTTTGCTTTTGATTGTCTTGTGATGTTCAATTGTCTAACTATATAAAATTTTAACCGAATCGTGTTCTCGGTGGAGAGGATAATCTTCGCATGTGTATTGCCATGATTTCGTGGTGTGTGGTGTCGGGAATATGGTATTCGGTTCAGACGCGATGGTCAAGTTAATTATTCGGGTGTTCTCGGAGTGATTTCTCGACCGTATAAGTTTCGGTCTAGAGATGTTTGGCTCAAGAGTATCCCTTAAGAAAGTACTCTAAAGGGAAACTTGTAAGAGTGTTCGGCCTGGTATATAGTTGATCGGGTCGGGCCCTTAGGAGAAACAGTTAAGGGGCTCGAGTACTCGGCCTGAGCGGCTCGGGTGTGTTCTTAGCTGAATAGGGTACTCGAGGAGGGAAACTTGATGCTGAGTTTTATTTTTTTGTCAGCCGAGGGTTCCACTTGGCGTTGGTGTGTACTTGGTTTGAGATGGGCGTTAGAGTGGTCGACCTACGTCTTTGATGACCGGTCAGCCGAGGATTCTACTCGGTGCTGGTGAGTTCAAGATTGGGCGTTATAATGCTCGGCCTAGGTACATCCTTAGCCGAGGAGGGTACTCGGCAGGGAAACCTGTCAGGCTCGAGTGCGCGTTTGAGTGGTCGGCCGAAGACTCTGCTTGGCGTTGGCGTTAGTTCCAAGATTGGGCGTCATAGTGCTCGGCCTAGGTATATCCTTAGCCAAGGAGGGTACTTGGGAAGGAAACCTGTCAGGCTCGAGTGGGCGTTTGAGTGGTCGATCGAAGACTCTACTCGGTGTTGGCGTTAGTTCCAAGATTGGATGTCATAGTGCACGGCCTAGGTACATCCTTAGCCGAGGAGGGTACTCGGGAGGGAAACTTGTCGGGCTCGAGTGCGCGTTTGAGTAGTCGGCCGAGGACTCTGCTTGGCGTTGACGTGGGTTCCAAGATTGGGCGTCATAGTGCTCGGCCTAGGTACATCCTTAGCCAAGGAGGGTATTCGAGAGGGAAACTTGTTGGGCTCGAGTGCACGTTTGAGTGGTCAGCCAAGGACTCTGCTCGGCGTTGGCGTGGGTTCCAAGATTGGGC